TGAACAACCCCAAACTATGCTCTGCCATTATATTTCATTCATAATATTATTGAAATATAGGTTTAAGTATATCGATAATATGCAGTATTTTTAAGAGAGATATAGAGAATGAAGTGTGAAATTAAGTTTCTGAATCAATGAAAATTACGTTTATAAGATTCAAGAACTGAATTTTAAATTGATTTATAGTATGTAATGTGTTTGTTGTCTTACGGTGAAGGAAAAACTCCTTGAGGAAACCTACATGTCTGAGAGAACCTAGCAAGTTTTTGAAAGACATGTGAAGTCCGCTAACCCGTAGGTACTTGGCCAGCGTGGTGGATCATGGCCTCATTCCCCTCGTATTGAAGGGAGGCCCGTGCCCAGCAGTGGGACGTTAAAAAGGGCTGAATACATACATACATTCATGTAATATGTTTATAGCTTAAAAATCTTTTATAAATATATTATAATTTAATTTTAAGAGATCGATCTATCGATACGATCTTCATAAATAATATAAATTATAATTATTTATAAGTATGTAAATAAAATTAGTGCAAATAATAAATTGCTGGTTTTGATTTTTGATGCTGATTTGAATTCATTATGAACACACGTAAGTAAATGTTAATGTGGATTTACCAATGTTAATGTGGATTTAACAATGTTAATTGCTTCAACTAACAACCAAGCCCAAGTTAATTTGGGAAAGACATAATTAATTATTGATGCAAATTATTATAATTAATTAGCTACATAATTATTGCTTGTCGATGCGTGTAATGTTTGTTTTTGACTCATATGGATAAATATACTATTTAATAATAATAATGATAGATCGAACAATAATAGATCAAATAAATTATTTAATTTTTGTTGTAGTTCCAAATAAACACAATTTACTAAAAAATTATAACAAAAAAAATACGTGCACAGATATATAAAAGAAGAAGTTATAAAAATATGGAAGATGAACAAAGTATACGTTGTAAAGTTAGTGCTATCCATATCCAGTACGGGCGTTATACCAAAGAATTTGCTGCATTGTCTCCGTGGTTTAGATTTACACACTAATGCTTGCATATGCAAAAAGAGACTATCTCGAATACATTTCGTCTACTACGAGAGTTTCTGTAAGACGTTTAACGTTTATTCATCAAACAATAGGTATCTAAAGATGATTCGAAACGTTGGATCCCAAAAATTAAAATAGATTTAAAAAGTATTCGAAAAATATTGTCATTTGAATCGTTTAAAAATATTAAATATTCGCGTAAATCTAAGAGAATATTAGTTAGGTTCTGGCAGATATTACCTAAGGATGTTTTACTTCTACGAATTATAATCACATTAAAATTCAATCCAATTTCAGGTGATAATAAAAAACGATTCGTATATTAAAATCTCGGAAATGCGCTTTTTTGGGTTCCGTAACCGAAGGCTGCCAACGGAACCGTATATAAGGTAAAAGTCATTTTAATAAACGGTACATGTACGATGGTACGGAACCCGATTTTCTTCAATCTTATTTTGATTTTATCAATTGGCTACCATTACTAAAATTTAGTTACGAAATTACAGATCAAAATATTAGTCGTCAATTTACTTTTTAATAATTTGTTAGTAATATATTAAAAATTATTACATGTATGTACTGCTAATAACTTTTAAAGGGATATCATATTGATTGATATAAGATATATTTTTTGAAGTATTGGAGTATAGATATTATTAAAATTGTTCTCCTAAAAAACTTAAAACTATGTAAAACCCTGAAGGATGCATAAAAATTAAATGTATTATACAAGTATTACGACTACTTTCCAATAAAACAAAATATACTGTCTTATTACATACTTATAACATGTCATATAATAAGTTTAAATACACATATACAAGAATTTCTTATTTAATATATATATTAAATAAGAAATTCTTGTATCTCGTGTGTATTTCGTGTCGTGTCGTGTATCTCGGAAACGGTTCTAACGATTTGGATTAAATTTTGTTTTTAGATAAGGTTTTGCTTTTAAGTATGTCTATTTAGATATTCTTATGAAAAATTTTATATCTTTTCTAAAGAAAAAACAAAAACGGCGAAGCTCTCTCGTCCAAGTACTATAAATATATTGTCGTATTTAATTACCAAAACAAATTAGGGCTTACGGATCTACGACACAAATATATTTTTATTTATGAATGACGTAATATAATATGTATTATCAATTCTGCAAGAAAAATATTATGTTATGTTTATTATCTATAATTTAATGTCGTTATACTCTTCGATAAAGAGTCTTTGATATGGGATTACTATTACTACTATTACTACATCGACTAAAATGACCAATATAGGTTTTGCATAACAAAGAAAAGAAAAATGATGTATGACGGCTGTCCTATAATGATTTATACAATACAAAACATAGCCAAAATAAGTATGTTTTGTATTATTTAGAAAAGCCATATTGTCCTACTTCACCGAGCGTTTTTTACACCTTTTGCCCCAAAGGAAGTATGTGTTCTTTACCGTAGGGTGACTTATGCCCCTCTGAGGACCATAAAATATTTTTATGGAAAAAATGAAATCAATCCTTTGTGGAGTAACAGAAGGACAAACCAATAAACGCAACTTTATTATATAATATTTATAACACGTCCCATGCAACGTAAGAAAAAAATAGTCGTGTATATTTGTGTATATGTTAACAGCTGTCAGTACGTACGGTTATAGATTCTTGGATAGTAGGTTCGAGGCCTGGGTCAGGTCATAGTAGTTATTGGAGTTTTCTGTTAAAAAAAATTCGAAAGCAGCCTGAAGTTCGTTTTGTTTGCCAAAAGTGGATGTGTCCCCATTGCCTAGGAGAGCACGTAAAACAATCGATTCCACGCCTGATCTCTAACCGGTCGTGTAGATTTACCGTCCCAATGGACTCTTAGATTGAATGAAATAGAGTACACATGTGTTAGCACACACATGAATACTACTACTGCAGTATTACTATCTTCTACGTAAATTTAGAGAGATTGTTTGTATGTATTCAGCCTTTTTTTAATGTCCCTCTTCTGGACACGGGCCTCCCTTCAACACGAGGGGGATCAGGCTCCACTACGCTGACCAAGTGCGTATTGGGGGACTTCACATGTCTTTGGAAACTTTATTTAATTTGAGATTGGTTGCCATGACCTGTTACGTTTGAAACGTTTATTTTGCAATCATCTACACAAATAATAAAATTGTAACTAAGTCGAATCTGTACATTAAATATTTTTTTGGAAAATCTTATTGAAATAAACATTATTATCGATACAGAGGCATAATCTATAGTTTTTAGAATTTTTGTCTGTCTGTCTGTTACCGCATCACAGAAAAACCACTAAAGGGATTTTGATAAAATTTGGTATGGTGATAGCTGGTTATCCGGGTCAACGTATAGGATACTTTTTACCGCGGGAAAATGTCTCATTTCTGAGAAAAAATACAAAAACTGCATAGTAAGAGTATACTAATATGTAAAGGCTAAGGATTTGGTTTCTGGTCATCTGAACGCGGGCGGAGCCGCGGGCATTGTTAGTTTTAAATATATATGTACTTCAGATGGATGCACATACGTAAGCCAGTTAGTAATGAGTCTCATGAAATTCATATCGGGAGCCTCATTTAAATAACGCGCAGATTTCAACTGTTTGCAATGTAATTGTTGATTCTTGGTATCGAAGCGATATAATTTATTCGGAGCTCAATTTAATAGTTGTAGATGTCGTAAACTCAATTATTATTAAAGAACTTATGTTTTTGGAGTTTATATTTTGTTTAAAATTTCATGGGTTTAATTTTTTCCGCGGTATTATAATTCTTTTTTAAAATAAAAGTAATCTAGTTATTCCTTATAGCATCAGTTATCTGCTAGTGAAAGTCCCGTCAAAATCGGCCCAGCTGTTTCGGAGATTAGCGAAAACAAACAGATAAATAGACAGACAGACAAATATTTTTCAAATTGTTTCTTTTTTCTTAAATTTCAAATTACAAACAGATACTTCAATTTTATTTATATGTATAGATTCATCATCATGTTATCACAAAATTAGTTGGACTACTATTATAAATGCGAAAGTTTGTATGTGTGTGTATTACTCCTTCACGCTAAAGCGGCTGGACGAATTTAGATCAAATTTAGAACATAGATAGTTGACCATCTGGACTAATAAGCTACTATTAGGCACGTCTTAGACCTTAGTTACTCAAGCGATCAAAATATATCACGAAAAAATCCGAAAAAATATTTTGTTATATTTATACTTTAGTCAGCTATGAATATATACAGAACATGATCCAATTTTGTGCAGAAGCTGTATATACATACATATATATTGTGTATATCTTAGAATCTACATGTATTTTCTCACATAATATGTACTTATCTTAGAATTACGCAAATATTTGGCAAGTTGTAAATATTGTAAGTATGTATAAAAACAAGTTATAAACAAAATTAAATAATAGGTAGGTACTTAATATTTATTTTGTTAGTACATTCAAATTAAAATTATTAAGAATGTTTGAAATTAAAAAAATATTGTAAGATACTTCGGTGTCATAGTATTATGATAATATATTACTTCTATAATGTATTAGAATGATAACTAATATTTGATAAGTTTTACAATCAATTCAGGCGATGTTTTTAAGATTCCATGTTCAAAACGCTAAACCCTTTTAGTTTTATCTTATCCGTTCGCCGTATGTCACAGTCATTTTACTCTAAGACTATGAAGCTACATTCCTGAAATTAAATTTGGTAGATAGAAGCCTCATGTGAACCGCTAGACAATTCTATAATATAATTATAAAAAAAAGTGAGATTCCATACATATAACTGAGGAGTGTTTTTTTAAGTTTTTACAAAGACGTAAGCGATATGTCTGAATAGAATAGTCTTAAAAATTTAGATAGATATGGCTATATTTTATTCTTCAAGCTACGTACTTAAAATTACAAAAATATATAAAAAAACTACCTTGTAATACGTGAACTCTAGCTACAGATTTCATTCCGAGTGGCGCTTCGAGGGCGCAGGTGTAATTGCCCGCGTCCTCCACTTTTAGATGCGCTACCTGTAATAAAATGCTTATTGAGATACTTCTAAAATGCTTAAAAGAAACATTTGACTTTAGAAAAATACAATGCTTTAAACACTTGGAAGACTTAGCTGCTATAATATTGAATTTTTTTTTGTATTTAAATTTTAATAAAATTAATTATTTTCTTAGTATAATATAGATTATTTTATTTTTTATTAGTATTCAACCCTTTTTTTAACGTCCCGTGCTGGGGATGAGTCTCCCTTCAATACGAGGGGGATCAGGCCATAGTCCACCACGCTGGCCAAGTGCGGGTTGGCGGACTTCACATGTCTTCCGAAAACTTGCTAGGTTCTCTCAGACATGCAGGTTTCCTCACGATGTTTTCCTTCATCTCTCAACAAGTGGTAATAACTTTATAGATGATTCGCACTTAAAAATATCAAATGTGCAAAACCTGGAATTTGAACCCGCTTCACTCAGTTTCCCAAGTTAGTGCGTTACCACTGGGCTGGTGGCTTTTTATTTTTATTAGGTGTATTTGTTATTAACGATGCAAAAAAGGGAAAGATATTTTAATATAAAATAATATTTTCATATTATGAGGTTAGGTAATTTGCTTAATATGGTACCTTACGTATGGGTTAAGCGTTGCGACGATGAAAGGTAGTCTATATCGGTCTGATGATGCAATCTATGTCCATGCCAAATTCAATTAAAATCTGCTCAGCGTTTTAAGCATGAATAAAAGTAGACAGAAGAAATTGTAGCAAATATTATAATACTTATGTATGTGTATATTATAAGTTAAATATTTACAAACAAACCTTTTTTTTTTAATAATAATGATAAGCATGTTAGTTTCCCACCACATTTGGAGCGTTTAACAACGAAGCCCATAATTATCTATTGTATTTTTAGATGACTACAAAAGAAACTTGAAATGTAAAGAAAATTGATCGTACTGTAGTGACTTGGATAACATAAAATAATATTATTTCTTATGTAATAGGTTAGAGTTCAACAGTATTCTTAGCTTGTATTTAGTTGAACTAAATTATATGAATCCTTATAAAATTATAACTTTCTCTTCAGATAATGGAAAGTTAAATAAAAGACTTTAATATTATTATACACTAGCGACTCACCCTAGCTCCGCCCGGGCTCGTCCCTTGGTATGTTTTAACCGTTAGTATAGATTGACCCGGAGACCCGGAGTGCCAGCTATCATAATACTAAATTTTATCAAAATCTTCTCGTGATGCTTTTCCAGACGGACAAACAAACATTTTAAAAATCTATAGATTTGGCCTCTGTATCGATAATACTATTTCAATAAGATTTTCCAAAAAATATTCAATGTTAAACAGATTCACCTAAGTTAGAATTTTATTATATGTATAGATTTTAATAACTTGTACCACCACACTTTTGCCCGTATACTACCTTACGTCACACTACCATAATCTATTCTCTTTTCAGCTACGAGCACAAAAATACCAGTGTTTGATAGACTTCTATATTTCTTAGAATTTTACAAACACTTAGCTTTACAGAAAACTACCATTGCACGCGGCTCTATCCGCGTTCAGATGACAAAAAACCAAATTCTTAGGTTTTACCTACTCTTAGAATACAGTTTTTGTATTTTTTCTCAGAAATGAGATATTTTCCCGCAGTAAAAAGTATCGTATATGTTGACCCGGATAACCAGCTATCACCATACCAAATTTCATCAAAATCCCTCAAGTGGTTTTTCTGTGATGCGGTAACAGATAGACAGACAGACAGACAAAAATTCTAAAAACTATAGATTACGTATGCCTCTGTACCGATAATAATGTCTATTTCAATAAAATTTTCCAAAAAATATTTAATGTACAGATTCGACTTAGTTACAATTTTATTATATGTATAGATGAGATAATTACCAAAAAGTCGGATGAAAAACATCGTGAGACGGATACTTTTAAAATATTATAACATTTTATTTTTCAACCGACTTCAAAAAGGAGGAGGTTCTCAATTCGACTGTATTTTTTTTATGTTTGTTACCTCAGAACTTCGTCATTTATTAAACGATTTGGACAATTTTTATGTTATTTGAAAGTGTATACTTCCAGATTGGTCCCATTTGAATTTAAAAAAAAATCCCTAAGGGTGGAAAAATAGCTAATGATGAATTTAACCTACTTCTAATTGTCATATTGACTTGAAACTTTGCAAGTGTTTCTATTTCCGTTGATAGTACAGTGGTTCGGTATTGTTGACCTGATCTGATGGTAAGGCCAGAAGGTGAATAGGTGGAACTTTTCAACGGCTAATAGTAGATAATTTGAGTTTGGGCTTATTTTGTTTGATTTGACAAGCCTAACACGTTAGAATTCTTTTTCTATTATATTCTGACTTTGCTACTACTGTCTACACTAAAAAGGGAAAAATAAAAACTTTTTAACAAAAAAATAAAAACCGACTTCAAACAAAAGCACTAAAAAGTAAAAAATAACTGATTGGTAGTTTTCATTTACTATACATACCTAATCAAATATTTTCGAAATCGGGAACGCAAAGCACACCGACTTCGAAAATATTTTACTTTTTAGTGCTTTTGTTTGAAGTCGGTTTTTATTTTTTTGTTAAAAAGTTTTTTAGAAATTGAAAATTAACATGCAAAATAGATGTATGAATATTTGTAACTTTAGCTCAATCACTTCATGGAAAAACTTGTTATTCTAAAGATGGAGTGAAACTGAATAATGTATTCAATATCTCTTATATTCTAAGGCTACGTACTCTAGTACGTATTTCGCAGTATACATTCATTTTCTTTCTCAGTGACACTTATGCCCCTTATATATTCCGCCATTCAATTTAGTCAACGAAATGAGAGGTGCAAAATTTTTAGCCTTACATGTACAAAATTTTATAAACCGCTATATTGTATAATATAAATTTTCCCGGAAAGTTATTGTAATAAGAAATAATGTTTTACATTACGAAATTAATTTTTACGCGAGCGGAAAACGTTATCTTTTCAAAGAATCAAGTATATTATCAGTAAATTATACTGTTCAGGACAGGACTTATCCGTACCATATTAAATTCTTTTAGATTTATGTTAATTTAAAACAAAAATTTCATCATAACGTTCACTGTGGGGAAAGAAAACTTATGATCAGAGCGATTTTTTTTTACTACAGCCCCTCACTTTTTCTAAGCCGATACACAAAAGTTACATGTCTAGTAATTTTTATTTTAGTATTTTTAATCCACGACGCGTTTGGCTCAGTTTGTAGTGACCCTACTTACTGTGCCAGCGGTCGCGGTTTCGAATCCCGCTGGGGGTATTCATTTGTGTGATGAGCATGAATGTTTGTACTGCAGTCATAGGTGTTTATATTTATAAAATATATGTATTCAAAATTATATATGTGTAGTGTATCAACTATCTGGTATCCATAACACAAGCCTCGTAGTTTACCATGGAACTAGTTGGTGCTGTTTGTTAATGTCCCAATATATTTATTTTATTTATTTTAAGCGTATATCTTATTAAAATTTAAATAATTTAATCTGTTTTCAATTGATAAACTATTGATTAGATCAGCTTTAAGCTAAGTTCAAGGTACCTTATATTAGACCCATGGGTAGAGTTAATTCGGGAAAAGGTAAAAGGTCACAGACACCTGCAAATTTCTCGCAGTTAGCCATAATTATGTATGTATGTAGCCCGTATGATATTTCATGACATAAACGGTATTTATCGGTCTTGACGACACGTTTGTCTTAGTTTGTAGTGACCCTACTCGCTGTGCCAACGGTCGCGGGTTCTACTCCCGCTGGCATTCATTTGTGTGATGAGCACGAATGTTTGTACTCCAGTTATGGGTGTTTATATTTATAATATGTATGTATTTAAAGTTATATATGTGTAGTGTACCAACTATCTAGTATCTATAACAAACGCCTCGTACTTACCATGGAACTAGGTGGTGCTGTGCGTTAATGTGCCAACATATTTATACTATATTTATGAAAAATAAACTTACTAATAATAAATAAATATAAATTGTATAAATATAAATTGTATGTAATAAATATTACAAATTGTTATGTTGAATGATTTATAGATTTTTTGTTTTGTCCTTGAAATAAAACGTCCAACAACAAAATAACGGCACGTGATTCAAATCAAAACTAACATTTATCTAGATTTTTACTAGCGCCTTTGAAAGTTGATTCAAGTAAATTTTGATTCGAAACACGTTTTAACATTCTATATAAAATACATATAGCTGACATTTATTCTCTGTCTAGAAAGTATCGTCAATTTGTCTATCGAAGTGTGAAACACTTTTGCATATCGTTTTTACAGTTATGTACAGCTATTATCATAAAAGAAAATTTCCATTAAATTTATAAATTAAATTTTGTTACAAAAAGTATCTATTGATTATCCTTAAAGATGCCACATTACATAAAAAACTACTTTGTTTAAATGAGAGCACAATACTCTGCCTTGTTAATGTCCTGCTGCGCCCAGGCTCCCTTCAATATAAAAGAAATTAAGCCATAATCCACTACAAAAAATAAAGTGCGGGTTGGCAGACTTCACAGGACTTTCGAAAACTTGTTAGGTTCTCTCAGATATGCAGATTTTCTCACTTATGATGAACCCGATTCATTTAGTTTTCCAATCGCTCACCACTTCGCTACCACTGCCAAAGCCATATAAATTTGAGACTATCAATAAATTCGCATTCCATATAATATTTAGATGAAAATATATTATCCATACTAGTAGACTTGATCAAATGGGGCTATTTGAATAAATGTTCAGGGTGGAGAAGGCTTTTGCATAACACTAGCACGCCCGTGTCCCGTTACGTTTTAGCAATTGGTTGTGAACATAGGCAACTGGGTGAGATTGTTAGTTACGAATACATTAAATTCTTGAATATTTACGGATTTTATAATTTTAGTTATATTATGTACTTTCATGAAAGGTTATTATAATTTTTATCTTATTGTTT